GTCCAGCAGCGGGGGCTGCTCGGTGTCTGGACCCCCCCACGGCATCCCCCTGACCCATGAGGGGGCTTGTTTTTGTTTTGGGGTGGCGAGTCCCCCCCCCTCCAGGCTTCGGGCAGCGCCGGAAACAGCTGAGAACCGAGGCCTCGCCGCCGCCGCGGCTCCCGGCAAGGCCGGGAGAGGAATTTGGGTTCCTCCACCCAACTCATGCCAGAGGTATCCTGAGGCCGCCCGCCCGGGCAGGGTGGCTGCCCACAGCTCGCTGGCCACCCCGGTGATGCCACCCATCTGCACCGGTGCCAACGGGCCATCCCCGCCGCGGCAGGGGAAGAGCCGCCCGTGCCGCCGCCGCGTCTCTTCCAGGGATGCCAAAACAGGACCGCTGGGAGATCTGGCCCTTGGACCAGCCCCCGGGCAGCCAGGGTGGGAGGAATTAGCCGTGGCCCCAGTTTCCCTTCACCCGGTCAGCAGGATATCCAGGTCTCGGTGCCCGGCGGTGAGGAGGCAGCCGCTGGGTCGGATCCTGGTCGTGTCTCCGGCCGGGAAAGGCAGCCAGCATCGCTCCCACCGCCCCCCACTGCACTGGGGGAGCAGCTCGGATGGGGCTCGCTGTGTTTGCAGAGCTTGCACGAGTGCTAACCAAACATGTCGAGCCTGAGGATTTGCTCTTGGCTCATCGCAGGGGACCCGTGGGGGTTGCTGAGCAATTCGGCCACGGGAGGCGGGAGCCCCCAGGTACCCCCAGCACCCGGGGAGGGATGCAACCTACCCTGTGTGCAGCTCCATGGCCACCTTTGGGGTGCCTGGCTAAAGCGGGGGGCTGCCGTGCTTCTGCCACCCACGGTTGTGCTGTTGCCCTGCTGTCCCCGCTCGTGGGGAGGGGGACACGTGGGCGCGCAGCTCCGCAGGGTTCACGTAGCCCCCCAGGGTGGGTGCTCCGGGGGAATCTGCTTTCCCATCCCTCCGTAGGGGGCTCAGCATCTCCTGCCCGTGGGGTGATGGCAGAGCCGCGGGCCGGGGCAGCGCGGGGGGCATCGCGTGCGTGGATGGGGCTGGGGGCTGGAGCCCCCCACCCCGGGCGTACGAGCTTCCCAGCCGTGCCTGGAGCGCTCTGGCTCTGGCCGCCTGGGTTTCACCTAGATTACACTTTCCAGGCGTAGTCAGAGGAGGCTACTGGTTGCAGTCACACTTGTCAAGCTGCCCAAAAATATTTTCCAGCCGTTATATGTCACTTATTCATGCAGGGTAAAAATCCACCCGCGGAGCCGGGGCCGGCGGGAGGCCTGCAGTTCGGGGCTCGGGACGGCACAGAGACCTTGGAAATCTCAGGCCGATCCCGGGATCTGCTTTATCTTTGTGTAATCACCCGTTCGGCGCAGCGGCGTGCTCCGGCGGGGGCCGGGTGTCCGAGTGGGAGGCGGGGGGGCTCGCGCGCCCGCCGC